TTGCAATATTCTAAATGTTTCTAAACTCTAAACGCTCTAAAAGAGCACAGAATGCCATGACTTCAGCTCTCTGCCTTCTCTGCTCTTTGCCACCTGCAAGTGCTCTTGGCCACGCCCACTTCTCCGGTCTGCACGCCTTAACAGCTGATCAGCTGTTTAACTGCAGTAGGAAATTAATCCTGCAGTATGGGCTGCACAAAGCTGCAGGATGAAGCTTTTTCTGCAGCTCTGGGCTGCACAAATGTGCAGCAGGTGTTAAATAACTTTAAATAATTTATTTTAAATAAAAATGTCATGTTGATCATGCAGCTCATCCATCAATCAGCCAACTGTGCGTCATGTCTAATCTTATTTTGAAAAACCACGATGGAGCAAATCTGCAATAAACGAACCGCGAAGTAGCGAGGGACTACTGTACATACAAATGAAGAGTTTGTATTTGTAATTATTTTTTCTTAACGTGATTTCTGTCTTTTTGTCTTTCCTCCTAGAAAAAATCTGATGGCCTCCATCCTGGACCTGTCATTGTGTGATAATTTCTTGTTCCTGTCCCCTCAAACCCAGCTGCTCGAAGCAGATGGCCGCTTGTCCTGAGCCTGGTTCTGCTAAAGGTTTCTTCCTCATGAGGGAGTTTTTCCTTTCCACTGTCGCCTTCATGCTTGCTCAGGATGGGAGACTGCGATGAAGTGAAAACTCAAAGCAGTCTGCTCCTCAGATAAAAAACATTATTAATTGAATTTTAATGTTTATGAATGTTTCTCTTCTGTGCCCTGAGATGACTTCTGTTGTAATTTGGCGATATATAAATAAACTGAATTGAATTGTGTCCCCGTGATGAACTGGAGACTTGCCCAGGATGTCCCCCACCTCTTACACAATGACTGCTGAACATGGGCACCAGTGACCCCGCAACCCAGAAAGAAAGAAGCAGGTAAATATAATGGATAAGGCAGCAGTTAAAGGCTCATTACCACTTTAAATGATTTCAATCTTGTGCTGTATTTGTTAAATACGAAACATTGATCATCTTTTCTCTATTAGTTCAGAAAAAAAAAGGTCCTACCTGTGGACATGAAGAAAGGGATGCGAAACTTTCCACTGAGGACACGCGCTCGCAAATTTTGTAGAGTGCTACCATCAAAAGGTAAAGCGCCACACACCAGAACATATAACACCACACCTAAGCTCTGCACAGCAAAGAAAGTAAAAAATAAATAAATAAAGGGTTTGCTATGAGCAAATGGATTCAGTGAATAAACCGATAAATGTTTCAGTCTCACTCGACTCACCCATATATCTACTTTGGGTCCGTCATACTCTTTGCCTTCAAAAAGTTCAGGAGCAGCATACGGAGGGCTGCCACACCACGTCTTCAGGAGCTGACCCCGAGAAAACATGTTGCTGAAACCAAAATCTGACGACAGAAAGAGACGTCATGTTGAACCAAACAAACCAAAGCCATCTCACTAAAACACATGAATGCACACACCTGCAATTTTAATGTTTAGGTTGTGGTCCAGTAACAGGTTTTCAGCTTTCAAATCTCTGTGGACGATGTTGCGACAGTGACAGAAATGGACCGCTGCCACAATCTGCTTGAACTTCTTCCTGGCATCCTTTTCTGCCATGCGGCCATGGGCCACCAGGTGGTCTGTGAACACAGTTCAGAAATCCAAAATGCTCAGCGCATCAGCCACAAAGATGAGCAAATACAACTCCATTATATCTCACAGATTGTAAATACCAGGGCAATGGATAGATATATTTTAGATGAACAACACTTGTGAGCACCACAGATACACTTCAGCAATGTCAAAAAAATAAAATAAAACACCGATAAAATCTAGTCACTGCTTCCAATCAGATGCTGCTGATCAAATACATGCCTGTGATTCAAAGTGTGAGCAGCGGTAGAAAAGCAGTAGTTGAAGTTCATTGTATTTCAGTTTGAAGACCAAACAAGTATTTTCTGTTTGAGGATTTTAGGAGGGACCGTCTCATGGTGGCACAACTTGCAAAGTTGCTTCTAAACAAAACAAGCAGTATGCCTATGTCCCCCGTCACTGAGGGATTTTAATAGTGAATATTTGTAGTTTTCTAGATGAGTGGTTTTCTGGACTGGGATTAGAGAATGTAAGTGAACCTTAATGATGTTCAAGTGGGTAGGAGTTACACTGTGGAGAAGAACAGAGGGAGTCGTTTTTTCTTGTCTGAGACAAGCTGAGTGATGCACCCTGGTGAGTGGAGGGAGCAATGTTATCCACCACCAGGTGCAATGGTGGAGCCAGGGGGTGGCCAGTGGTGGCCTTGGCCTCCATAGATTAATCTTCAGCCACCCTAATCATTTGAGGAAACTACACTTTGAGGCTAAGAGTTCAGTCAGGCTTTTTGAATGGGAACAATGGCGTCTTTGTTTGCGAATCACATCGCCATGGTAACTTGAAACGCCAATAAAAGTAATAGCACACATCACGGTGCCGAGCCGGTCGTTTCATTTGTGGGGGTACACGTTGCGGTTCGGGCCGCATTAAAGTTGACAGAAGAGCAAGACCCTTTTCTGGTGGATAATAACAGGTAGCTGCCTAAAGCATAGTTTCCTGAAATGATAGGGGTGGCCAGTTTACATAAACATATAGTGGTGGCCATCTTGGATTTTGACATGACAATCTTATTTTCAAAAGGAACTTTTCTTACATCTAGATGCAGCCACACAACAAAATGGAAGTTGGTACTTTACTTATTTGTGAAGTTGTCACGATCACAACATGCACAAATAGACAGGCGAACAGACATGTTTCCATAGTTGGACATAGACATGTTTCCAATTCATCTTCGCTACACAACAAGAGACAACCAGACTTTTGGAACAATGTCTGTTAGATCAGCACATGACACGTTACACCAACTGCCATGCATGGTGATGGAGGGTTGATTATTTGGGCTTGTATTGCAGCAACACAACATGGGCACCTTGCAGTCATTGAGTCGATCGTGAACTCCTCTGTAAACCAAAGTTTTCTCAAGTCAAATGTAAGGCTATCTATCCCAAAGCTGAAGATTTGTCCAAACTAGGTCATGTACTGTACGAGGATAAGGGATCCCAAACACAGCAACTAAACTATGTCATAACGTTTGAAGAAGAGTCGAACAGCTTCAGTGTCCCAGTGAGTCCAGACTTCAGCCTGATAAAAGTGCTGCAGGTCGACTGTAAAGAAACTGTTCAAATCTTAAAAGGGTGCAAAATGTGAAATTTATTGAACGGCCGTATTTTGGAGGAATAGTTTAATTCTGACCAGACTGAGGAGCTAAAACTAGTCTGAGTGGGGACAAGCTGGGTTGATGCTATTGCTCACTACAATCTCAAACTTTTTATACCCGTTTGCACGATTTTACAGTTTTTACCCTGCTGTCCGTTTCACATTACACATGTACTGAAATAAAATTCTGTAGTTATTTGCCAGTGTAAACCTGATCTAGTACTTGCAAACCGAATTTCAGAATATTTTGTATGAATAACCAAATATTGCAAAACTGACAGCAATAAAAAGCTTTATACAATAATGTTTGTATGAACAGATATAAAACTATCAAGACTTGAGCTATTTAAAGCCAAAAAAATACTTTGGTCTTGGCCGCATTTGAACTAGCAGTTAGTATGTTTCTTCAAAATGATTAAAAGCGTTATCTATAATAGGTAAGATTTTAACTGTTCATAACCTTTCTACAAAACCATACTCCCCAAGATCTGATTTAGTGCTTTAAGAAAGGTGGGCATGAACAAGCCCCTGCTAAACGCCAAACTAAAACAGCCCTGTAAAAAGACAAATTAACCTAAAAAACAAAACACTAATAGGATTGTACACAAAATAAGCTGTTGCTGTGAAAGGCAACTATAAACTACTGAACTAGAAAGTTCCTGGAGCAACTTTGACAGGGGCGGCCATGTTGCGCCCATTTAAAAAATATATATTTGACAGTACTATGTGTTGGGGTTCGCTCTCAGCTACTATTATACCAAATTTCAGCTCAACATCTGAAAGAATGACTGAGTTATAGCCAATTTTGTGTTTTCTGATATAGCTGTGGCAGCCATCTTGTACCAGAATGGCTCAAAATTTAATCAGTTCTAGAGATACATCTGATGATTACTTTCTGTGAGTTAAAAAAATTCATCAAACTGTTCATGTGTCTTTGTTTGCAAATTACGTCACAATGGTAACTCGAAATGCCAATAAAAGTAATAGCACACATCACGGTGCAGTGTTGCTCCTACATTACTTGTCTTGGTAGGGCGCTCATCTGTTCCGTGTAGGGATGCACAATATAATCAGCATGATATTGACCTATATTAGCGATAAAGTTAAATATCGGACATTGGCCATTCAATCAAAATAACTCACCAATATAAAAGGCGCTGTTTTTGTTTGACTGTTTGAGTGCTGTCATTGTGTTAGAGAAAGTAAGTGTCATGAATAAATTTGACATTAAACATAATCCAAGTTGAAGTGTTACATCCTTTTCAGCCCCCCTTTTGGCATCTGCACTTGGCAGCTGGCCAAACTGACAAAGGCCATGCAGATACAGCAGAGAAAGCGATGTAGTCTCCGTAAGTAGGTCTAGGGAAATAAATATCGGTATTGGTATCAGTTATCGGCCAAATAAGTTTTAACATAATGGCATATCGGCCAAAAATCCAATATTGCATCCCTAGTTCCGTGATTTTTGTCACATGGGGTAGGAGTAGTCGGAGACCGAGACACGTCTGTGTTTGTACAGACGTTTTTTGAGCCAGGGGGTGGGCAGGAGATGGCTCAGCGTGAAGGAAGCGGAACGCTACCTAGCTTTGTAGCACACCTGTATTGAGCTTTAGCTTAGTGCTACGTCAGTGCTGACAGTTGTCGAGCGGGGGGTGGGGTTAGGTTGGTTGGTTCGGTAGGCAGTGCGCTCCACTCTGTTCTGCAAACACTGCGGCGCCAAACCAGTCGTTTTGATAGAACATTTGTGGGGGTACACATTGTAGTTCAGGCTGCATCAAAGTTGACAGAAGAGCAAGATCCTATTCAGGTGGATAATAATAGGTGGCTGCCTTCATGCAGTCCCCAATTAAGTAGTATACTTGTTTTTTTTTTCCTCCCATATCCTTTGTCTGCACTAAACAGCAGCACAAATTTTGGATGCTTTCGATCCCTTTAGGATCTGCTCTAATAAAAAAATACATTATTCCTAAACAAACAAACAAACAAATAACAAAAAAATATATATATATATATAAAAGAAAGAAAGCAGACAATTAAAGCAGATATTTGATTATTAGTGTTATTTATTTAGTATTTTTAAACGTGGGCAGCTTTGTGGTTTTTACACTAATGTCCAAACTTGACAGGAAACAAAGAAAAAGCCTTTAAAGGAGAGGGGAAAAAAATTAAGCTGAAGAGTCAGGAACTCTTACCGAAAATCTCTCCGCCACTAGCAAACTCTGTTACCAAATAGATCATCTTCTCCGTCTCCATCACCTAAAGACATAAACAAATGATAACAAAAATTCTAGACAGGCCAACATCCAGTGACGGGGCGGTCCACCAGTTAGTTACACAACAGCATGAGTAAGCACTGTTTGGCATATAAACAAGAAGGATTTAAATAGAACAAAAACCGTCACGGACTTGTGGGTATTTTTCAATCTGTGTTTGAAGACTTACATATGGAAGATAATGACAAAAAGACTGAAGTGTTTTAACTTCTGATGGTTGTAGCAGGCAAGATGCTCTGATTTGAACAGCTCTATAAAACCTTAGGAGGTCTGGGTAAAAATAAATAAATCCAGACAACACTGCCTCAGTTTCATACAAGTGTCATGAGTGAGTCTGTTTTATTGAGCAAAAAATAAAGCAAATACCAGACGACCCTCTAGATGTTCCCTGGTAAGAAGCACTTTCCAAAGTACAATTTACACAACAATCTTTAACGTCTTTATAAACTGAACTAAAAAAAAACCCAGAATCATCAGATTCCAGTAAATCAACATTTATGTTCGTTGTTCTCCCACTGGAGGAAGATGTGAGCAGAGAAGATAGTCGTCTCTGTGGGTGAATGCGTACCTGGTAGAGGCGGATGATGTGGGGGTGCTTCAGCAGCTTCATGATCTGCACCTCTCTGAAGATCTTTTTCAGGTTCTCGTCGTCCAGCTGGGTCTTATCCACTATTTTTATCGCCACCTGAGACAAGAGAAGGATGGAAGGATGAAGGACAATAGAAATGGAGAGGTGTGAGGAGGTGAAGTGCAAGAAGGATGAAGTAAACAAAAAGAAACAGAAAAAAGAAGAGGATAGTGTGAGTAATAAAAACAAGAGTACTGTATTCAGGGGCGGCTGTGGCTGAGTGGTTAGAGCAGTCGTCCTCCAATGCGAGAATTGGGGGTTTGAATCCTCCAGCAGTCACATGCTGAAGTGTCCCTGGGCAAGACACTGTACCCCCTCATTGCCTCGATGTGTGTCTCATCAGTGTATGAATGTGATAAAGCTCTGATTAGTCTCTTTAGAATGATTTGTTCAATTAGCTTTGTAGAGATCTAGTAGAGTGCTGTATGAATGGGTAAATGAGGACACAGGTTGTAATGTAAAGCGCTTTGAGTATTTCGATAAGATAGAAAGGCGCTATATAAGTACAGTCCATTTACCATTTACTTTATATGACTGTTAACAAATGCAGCAAGAACAATACAGCAATCCACAGCAATGGACCGGACAAGCAAAGACCTTGTTTTAACGATGAGCTTGACCTTGAAATGTGATGAACAGTGTACGCAACACTGTGTCTAGTGTTGATCCATATGTGTATCAAGTTAATATCTGAGCAGATCAGAAGCTATGGCCAGGACAAGATTAAGTTTACGGATCTACGAAGACTATACCATAATATGTCTGCATTTCAACACGTGCATGAAAAAGTAAAAAACAAGCAAACACTGTGAGATGTTCATTCAGACTGTGGTGGGAACGAGTCTCAGCTACAACCATAAAGTCTAGCTTAAAATATATAGACAACTGACTGAATTATAGCCTTTTTGTGTTGGCTAATGTTAATTAGTTGCAGCGACCATCTTGAAATGGATTGCTTTATCAGTTGTAGACATAAATTTGAGTTTCATTAAAATTGGTCCAGTAGTTCATGAGATATTTGGCTAACAAAAAGGGTTGATAAACTTAAAGCTCCAGTTTTAAACAAGACCTTATACAATGAGTATCACTCATAGTTTGTGTTGTGAATGACCCTCACCTACAGCTACACAAAGTTTAGCATGGAACCTAAATAGTTAACCCGGTTACAGCTATGTACGCGTTTTCTATAGACGATTAGCTGTGGTGGTCATCTTGAATAGGGTCGATTCCAAAAGTAGTAACTGTACATCTAATTAAAACTTTTGAAGATTTTGTTCAAATCTGTCCTGTGGTTCATGAGATATTTCGTCAACAAACACAAAGACATGCACACACAACCACGGACAAAAACTTTATTATACCTTTGCCTTTCTTTCAGACAATAACGAGAACGAACAAGCTGTACGCTGATGTCCCCCGGCGTTGAGGAGGGATTTTATTTTTATTTTTTTTATTAGAGGCAGTGCTGAGTGACAGATCCTGGAGAGTGGAGGGATAATTTTTTATCCACCATCAGGTGCAATGGAGGAGCCAGGGGGTGGCCAATGGTGGCCATAGACACCATAGATTAATCTTCGTCACATCAATCATTGAAGGAAACTTGAAGTTGCTTGCTCCTGATTTTTTTTAAAGTAATCCAGCTCAAAAGTTTAGATGCGGGTACATACACATATGGGGCAGCCATCTTGGATTTTGATGTGACAACCCAGACCTTTCCTACACTTACATGTAACCACACATCAAAGTGGAAGTCAGTGCCTCACTTTTTTTTTATGTTATCGCGCTCACAACATGTACAGATGGGTGGACAGAGGTTATTATTCAATTCCCTCTCTTTGCTCTATGATGGGGGACAATAAACAATGTTTCTACCAGTTCCTCTGAGTTCACAAAATATATTCACATTTCAAAGGTTGCCACCTAAATCACAGGCAGCAAATTCCTGCTGGCCTCTGCTAATGGTAAAACAAACTAAAAACAAAGACACAATAAATAAATAAACAGCAAAGGGGAGTGTGAATCATTGCACTCAAAAGCGTGAGTAATAAACAATTATCTGACACAAGAAAACCTATTGGCACTTGAGGAGATGATTAGCCCAGTTGTGTGTTGCCAAACACACCACTGTCTCTATTCCAGCCTTTGTACGTTCCCAGCCTGTGCACTGACCTCTGATGGTGGACACAACTGTTGCACAACGCCTGAGCTCTGGACAATAGCTCCAGCGAGGTGGACTGTGATAGACTGTGACAGGAGCTTTGCTCTGCCACTTAGGAGTAGGTGGACAACTTTAATGACCTAACCAAGCAAAGCTAATAGAGAAGCCCCAAAACACAGCTTTGGCCAAAAATAGATGAGCGAGGACAGGAAAAATGAAAAGCTTGTGCCTTTTACACCCTCACACACCCGCTTTATATCGTCCGTCCATTTCTGTGACATGCCAACACTGAGCCCTTCCCTTCCTGAGAAAAGACACGAAGAAGATGAGGCCATCTGAGGACCAGAGCCAACTTCCTCTTGGAGACAGGAAGGGGAAGTGAGGAAGAGTGAACGGGGGGCTCCTGAGCGAGCCCAGAACAGAAACAGTGACATTAACACATTTCATTGTGCGAGTTTCCCTTCAGTGGTATTGTACAAATTGTTAAAAACATGTGCCCAGTGGACAGCAAGTGCTGCTTTTCTCCAACGCTGTTGTTAGGTCACCAAAGTTTGTTTGGATTGTTTGAAGAACAATGGTTTGTTTGAGCTGTTGCGTTACCCATCTGAACGTTGCTGTTCCACAGAACACAAAGCTCCTCTCAATTCTCAAACATGAACTATTCCATAAAACACAACTACGGTAAACCATTGCACAAGAAGCAAATGCCTTCAACTTAAAAAAAAAGAAAAAAAAACTTTTTAAAACACATCATCATGGTATTACATCACTTAAAATACCTCATTTTCAGCCTGCAGCAAGGATAGGTGAAGACATTTAAGATTTTTATTGGCTTAATTTGACAGATGCTTTTATTTAAATCGCTGCCTAAAAGATTTGAAATGTGGTAAATTTTGCAGTGTGCATGCTCTAGTGGCAGCGGTGTTATTTAACAACTCGTTCAAACAAAATCACACACTGCTTTAAACTGTCACATGAACAAATATGTGAGACGGACAAGTTTCATAAACTGTCTCGGTTTAATTCACTAGTAAAGATGGACTGCATACTTTGGATAAATTGTACCCACTAAGGAAAGTGTTAGATCAGGGTCCTGATAAAAAGAAAAGTTTGACGACTGGTGTTAAAGCAGCTGACCATTCTCCAACTCTATATTGATTACAGTGATGTCTGTATATACAGCTGCTATAAAATAGCTGATGTAATGAGCCAACATCTGTCTGCAGTATACATTTCCAAATAAAAAATTAGAGCAGTTCAATACATACTTGCAGTGTTTACATTTAGAGCATATTTGTTGAGTTAGCAATAAAACGTTATTCTCTACCACAATTGTGGCAGAAATTCTCCTTTGACACACTCTACATTCATCATACACACACAATAAAAAACACATTACCACCATTAGTTACCGCCATTAAGATGTATCTACTTAGCTAATACAGGCAATAATACTTCATTCAATACTACCAATTTATTTAGGCATTAAAATCTAAATATTCAGCTGAAACGTTTCAGCACAAAAATAAGAAACTGTCCAGATGACCTGACTAAAAATTGTTGGATTCAGTTGAGTTCATCAAGCTACTGCTTAAAACCAACCCAGCTAAGCAGCACAGTTTAGAGGAAACTTCAGTTTCTACAGGAGAACGTTAAAGTATGGCTGAGAATAAGTAACTTAGTTTACTGCTTTGGATGACCAGCCCATGTCTGTGGAGGAGAAATCTTTGTTGACTCTGGAGCTGTTGGTGCCAGGTATGTCTTACTACAGCACTACATGACAAAGACAGCGCTAACCAAACTGCATCAAGGTTGTCATCATCTGACATGATTATTTTGGTTGACAATAAGAAAAAAATAGATAAATGTGAACATATTAAATTGAGGCTAGAGATCTGTCGATCCGTCTTAAATTATGAGAATTGTCATTAGGACAAAAGTTCTTTGACACTTTAGTGTTTGAGTGGTCTACCTAAACAGGGTTTGACAAAAATGATTCCCAACATTTTAAACAGTAGAAAACCATTTTCTTTTTACCTTTTTTTTTTTCCACCTTTCGGCTGCTCCCTTCTTCAGGGGTCGCCACAGTGACCTATCTCGCATGAAGACTTGGCGATTGTTTTTACGCCGGATGCCCTTCCTGACACAATCACAGACCACCGAGCTACCACAGCCCTCTGTGGAGCAGAGAGCCGACATGTAGGGTGCTGGGGGAGCAGATGGTGGGGGTTAAGCGCCTGGCTCAAGCGTCTCACCTTTCCTTCCTACATTTTGATGTTGTTGGTGTGGGGAGTTGAACCAGCGACCTTCCATTCACAGGTCCACCTTTTCTAACCTCTGCACGGCCACTCCCCCACTTTAAAGACTATAAAACTAAAAATGTTTGATTAAAAAATGTAAGTGTCTAAACAGTTCATAGAAAAAGAATCCTTACTAAGTGAATTCCTCCTGGGTGTTTGAGTATCTATGAGATAATTTTAGGTTCTGTGAATCTATTCTTGAAAGTGGCACTTGTCCAGTTCTGCTGATGTAACTGATCCTCTCAGCATCTTCTGCAGAGTAACAACGGGACATCTGGATCAAACGAACACTCCCACACTCAGACAGAAGTCTTCACATACACAATGTGCCGCGTCTCAGAGCTGTAAAAGTTTGATGAAACAGAAAAACCTCAGCTACAGTTTTGACTGTGCAGATGTTTAATAAACATGACAATTTATGAGAGAAAGACTGCGACAACCAAGCCAAGAAACTGGAGCTAATATGGTTAGAATGAGTTGTGTTTCACTTTTTAGACGTTCAGCTTCTCTTTCTCCTCCCAAAGAGATTAGATGACTGTTATTACGCCTGACAGTCCTTTATTATAGTTGCTTCAGTGTGTGGTGGTATCAAATAACAA